GCATTTTAGAGCAGCCACCATCAGGACTGAGCGGTGGTGAGAGGGACTTGCACGCTCCTTAACAAGCGGTGTTAAATGAGGGTGGAGAAAGACAGCAGCTCCGTCAGTAACAGGACGGGACACACACACACACTGGCTCATGTTTGCATCCCTGCACGCGCACCCACCAATAGAAACCCGAGCCAACACATCCACGTGTATTGGAACCGGGCAGAGAGTGAGAGAAACATACAGAGAAACAGTCACATACACAGGCCGATTTCCCACAAGCTGCTGCAGCGCACTGGCTCTTCCCTTTGCCCCATCGTACGTGTCAATTTTACACTAAGTGTGAGTGTGTGTGCGTGTGTGTGTGAGAAAGAGAGAGAGAGAGACTGGGTGTTCTCCGATGCCTCGAAATAAGTCACCACCGGCCTCTCCGCCGTCCCACCACCCTGAAGCAGTCAGCCCGCTGGCCTCATCAGAGCCACAGGCTGGTTGCAGCCAGCCTGGGTGCTCTCTGAAGCCCCCCACCCACAAAAAAACAGTTCCTGCCAGCCCGCTGGCCTCTTCACCATCCCCGCCCTGAAAGCATCCACAGCTAGCCTGGGTGCTCTCTGAAGCACACACCCCCCCGCCGCTACCACCCAAACGCAGTCCCTACCAGCCCGCCGGTCTCTCTGCCGCCCCTGCCCCGCCCTGAAAGCAGTCGCCCTCTGGCCTCATTAGAGCCCCAGGCTAGCCGTGGCCAGCCTGGGTGCTCTCTGAAGCCCCTCATCACCCCAAAAGCAGTCCCCGTCGGCCTCTCTGCCATCCCCCCACTGCCCCAAAAGCAGTCTCTGCCACCCAGCCCAGAGCAGCCTGGAGCTTCCTTACCTTCCTGGCTGAGGCAACACGTGCTGGCTTCGGAAGAAAGAGGAAGCCCAACTGAGGGCTGCTGGAAGCTGGGTGTGGCCAACTCAGAAGCCAGCAGGAACGCCGTTCCAGTGCGTTCCTGCCCAAAAATAGCCCTTCCTTTTAAATAGGTTCTCTGTTCTTCTTGAAGCAATTCTTATTCTCCACAAGCAAGTAGGCAGTTGTCTGTTTATTGTCCTGATTATTTTGACAAGATTTCCCCCCTAATTTTAGGTAAGATGATTTTGGCTATGCTTCTGCTGAATGTTTTACTTTCAGCCTAAAATAAATTGCTGGCTGTGTTTTTGTGTCTTTACACACATGCCTTCCACAAGTAGATGGGAATTGTGATCAGGTTTCTTTATTGGGAAGTGCTTGGGATTATTCCTATTTTTGGTGCATTAGTAGTTTTTATAATAGGGAGTACATTGGATGGTATAGAGTAGTGGTGGTGACAATTGCCATCAAGTTGCAGCTGCCTTATGGCAACCCTGTAGGGTGTTCGCGGCAAGAGATGAACAGGTGTGCCATTGCCCAGCTCTGCATCGCAACACTGGACTTCCTTGGTGGTGTCTGACCCAAATACTAACCAGGGTTTACCCTGCTTATCTTCCAAGCTCTGATAAGATTGGGCTAGCCAGGTCAGGGTATGGTACAGAGCACTCCTAGCCTTTGGAAGGCTTGATAGTTCATTTTAGATACATTTTGTTTGTATGGTTGTATGTGCATTCTATTTTTATTGAATTGTGGTAATATTGTGTTGGGCACTACTTTTTGACTGGTGCTGCTTTTAGCATTTGACCTAAAGGATGAAATCATGGGCCTCTTACAACTTTACACCTTTTCCTGAAGTCATGATAATTTACATTTATCTGGTGTCAACTCCAGATATCTCTTCTGTGGATTGGTTTGGGCATTGAACTCCATTGTTCTTGGTGCAGTGAATCTTTGTATGGCATTATCATCACATGCCTTGTCTGGAAGACATCTTTTCATGAGTATATGCACCTGTTGTTCAGCATCAGGGACAGATTGGGGATCCTGTCTGAATGAATACGAAGGTGTTCTTTAGCAGAGTGGTGGGGATGCCCAAACTATTGGTCCATACTGAAGCCCAAACTCAGTTGTGCTGCAGGACTTAATGGTAGTAAGATGTCAATAGGACTATCCTACTGTATATCGGACCCAGCACAGTTTGCATGTGTTATGCTCAATTTGATGTTCTATATAGGATACAAAGAGAGAAATCTGTGCATGGAAGAATTATCAGTTGTTCATGTGTTGTAGCTATAGCATTACTTGATGCGGTTTGGAATTGCAGGAGGGACATTAAACTAACCTATCTATAGTAAATGCAGGATCAGGTTTTTTTACTGTACTTGGAGAGCCTTCATCTGATGTGGAAAGTCTTATTGATGCCCTGTTTAACTCTGGAATAGTTAGACTTGAATTCTGTGCTTATCCAGTTTCTGTCTTTCATTGGAATGAGGAAAAGTGATTTTTTCATCAATTGCAAAAAGTTTTAGCTGGGATTTTGGCTTGATGACAAGTAGCAGTACTCTTGTACTGACACCTGTGTAGTATAATGAATGGTTAGAGTGTTGGATTAAGATTAGGACACCAAAATCGTTCTTTAAGATCTTTGGTAGAGCATTGGGCCAGTCAGTTCTCTCAGCCTAATGTATCAAACAGGATTGTTTTCAGGGTAAAATGGAGGAGGGGAGAACAATATGTGCCACCCTATGAAGCCTGGAGAAAAGACATGATAAAAAATACCCAATGAGTCTGAATGGACACATGAGCTATTTTGGTTATAAAGTAACTAGCAGTAAAGCCCGTTGTGGAAATAAATACAACGGGATCTAGAAAGAGGCTCTGGGGGAGTGCTCTGGCTTTGGGCAAACAGTGTCATTTTGCTGTGGTGACCTCAGCAGGGTATAATGGCAGAGTCCACTGTTTTCTCCAGAGGAACTGATCTCTGCTCCCTGAAGAGCAGTTGTAATTTTGAGTGATCTGTAGCCCTCACCTGGAAATTGGCAACAATTGTTACCCAGGACGAAATGGCTGGTTTGGAGGGTGGAGTCTATGGCATTCTACCTGTCTGATGTCCCACCCCTCCGCAAACCCCACCCTCTCCAGGCTCCACCCCTCAAATCCCCAGGAATTTGCCAGCCTGGAGTTGGCAACCCCATCTCCTTCGCAGCTAACCATCAACCTACCATTATCTGCCCCTTTGACTTCAGCTGACTTCCGCCCTCCCTTCTGCAGAGCAATTGTAATTTTGAGTGGTCTCCAGCCCTCACCTGGAGATTGGCAACAATGGTTCCCCATGAGGGACTGAGTGGTTTGGCGGGTGGAGTCTATGGCATTGTACCTGTCTGAGGTCCCACCCCTCCTCAAACCTCACCCTCTTCAGGCTCCATCCCTCAAATCTCCAGGAATTTCCCATCGGGAGTTGGCAACCCTATCAGGATTGGCCCCAATATGTTTTCTCCCAAAGGCCAAAGTAGGTGACTGGACCAAACTAAGTTGCCTACCATCAGGCACTGAGGGGAAAGTAGGGTTGCCAGCTCCAAGGAGGGAAATATCTGGAGTTT